AGATATTTATTGAATTCAAATTCCACCATCTGCCGTGGTAGGATTCGAACTAAGTCCCCAGAATATTATTCAGGTTTCTGAATTCATAGTCCAGTGATAATACTACTAGGCCATCACCTCCCCTTTGAGATGCCCTGCATCCACAACAATGCAGTCCTGAGGGATTGTCAAAATGTTGAACAGACTGTCCATTGGACCAATTTGCGATGACCTGCATCTGTAAAAGTTGCTATATAAATGCAAATGTTTCTTTCTTTTGTGTTACCCTGTGAATGTGGACAAATATTAACAATGCATGCCATGCCATTTAGCAAATTAAAGTGCGGCTCCTTAAATGTGTCAATCCCACAAAAAACATTAAACCCTAAATGTGAACTTGCTGCAGCGATGAAAGAAGTGTTATTAAAAACTAATTACAAACATAAGCCTCGATGTGGAAATAGATTTACGATTGTAACTATAGATTCCATCAGGCGGAGGTCAGGTGGGCCACCATAAAGGTGGGGTGGAGGTGGGGGGTTGTTGGTTGATTTTCAGCTTGGAGTGTTTGCTGGATGAGAGCATGGGGAAGGGGATATCTACTAGTATAGACATGACTGTCTAAATGGGCTGAAAGGCCCCATTTCACACAGTAGCCTTTCTAAACTTCGATGGTTTTGTAGATGTCGGACTACTGATTTATTTATTATTTGCATTGGAGGATCAAGAAAATGGAGAATACGATGCAACAAAGCTCGAGTAATGCTGCCTCAGAATCTGAAACTTGTGCCAAGCTGTTCTATTGTGCTCGCCCTGTTGGACGTAGCAGTGCTGTGCAGCAGCATCATACTCTTGTACCAACATAGTTCAGGCATCTTCCACTGCTGAATGCCTTCACCTGTGAGACCTCCTGTGCTGAATGATTTCCAGGGTAGACCTTTCGAAGATGGAGTGTGTAACTGCCCCGAGATTAGTTTCCAACAAGCCCAGTGGATGGGGCAAGTTAGTCAGATGAAAGGCTGGGAAGGTTGTTTTCGAAAGCAGCTTTTATCCAATGCTGGGTCCCTTCTTGGGGCACTGAGTGCCACGGGGGAGGACCCCAGAGTGACAGCTGTCAAAGCCAACTGTGTTAATTGGGCAGCCTTCAGTAGGCAGGAGAAACCACTGTGGGTTTGAAAGAATCACTCTGCCACAGCTAAATTCCTGTGGGTTCAGAAGCTATGAACTTTATTTGGCTCCATATTTAGCCTAATTGGCCAGTGGGTAGCATTTCTGCATCAAACCCAATGCTGACTAAACGGAAGCCACTTTTCCCACCAGCTGAAATTGGACTCATTGCCTTTTCCTGGGTTTATGTTGTTCTAAATGCCACCTCACCCTCTCCAGCAGATGGCACTTTACCCAGCCCATGAACTACTGTTTGCTGAGCAGGCAGCTTTTGAGATGCATTTAGAATCATATGGCAAAGTAACAGACCCTTTGGTCCTTCTTGTCCATGCTGACCAGTCATCTCAATCGGACCTACTTCCATTTGGCAGCATTTAGCCCATATCCCTCTAAACCCTTCCTATGCATATACCTATCCTGATACCTTTTAAATGTTGTAATTGTACCAACCTTCACTATGTCCTCTGGCAGCTCATTCCATACACACACCACCGTCTGTTACTCCTCAAGTCCCTTTTAAATCTTTTCTTTCTCACCTTAAACCTGTGCCCTCTGGTTTTGGACTTCCCTACCCTAGGAAAAAGACCTTGCCTATTCACCCTATCCATGCCCCTTATGATTTTATAAACCTCTGTAAGGTCACCCCTCAGGCTCCGATGCTCCAAGGAAAATAGCCCCTATTCAGCCTCTCCCTATAGCTCAAACCCTCCAATTCCGGCAACATACCTGTAAATCTTTTATGCATCTTTTCAAGTTTAACAACATCCTACCTATAGCAGGGTGACCAGAATTGTACACCGTATTCTTAAGGTGGCCTAACCAACGTCCTTTGCAACTACAATATGACCTCCCAACTCCTATACTCAATGAACTGACCAATGAAGACAAGCGTGCCAAATGCCTTCTTCACTACCCTGTCTATCTGCAACTCTACCTTCAAGGAACTATGCATCTACACCCTTGGGCTCTTTATTCAGCAACATTCCCCAGGGCCCTACCATTAACTGAGTAAGCCCTGTCCTGGTTTCCCTTACCAAAATACAACACCGCACATTTATCTAAATTAAACTCCATCTGCCATTCCTCTGCCCCATTGGCCTGGGTGGCCAAGATCTCGTTAGACTCTGAGGTAACCTTCTTCACCTCCAATTTTGATCTCATCTGCAAACTTACTAACCATTCCTCCTATATTCACATCCAAATCATTTCTATAAATGACAAAAAAGCAGTGGACCCAATACCAAACTTTGCAGCACACCGCTGGTCACAGGCCTCCAGTAGGAAAGCAACACTCTACCACCACCTCTCCCAAAGGGCAACAGGTCACTCTGACTCAATTGGGATCTGAAAGGTACAGTCACCATTGATTTACCAGGCCATTGGGCTGTTCTGTCACCAGATAGAGGCAGCTGTTGGTGGTTTAACCTGAGGGTTATCATGACTCAGGCAAGAGGACAGGTTGAGAGACACAGTCCATCATGGCAACCTCAGCTGTTATGGGAACTAAACCCATGCTGTTAGCGTCACCCTATATCACAGAGCAGCCATCCAGTCAAATCAGCTAACAGAGTCCCACAAGGGGCTGCTGTGAACATACAAGGTGATTGGGTGATGCAATGTGTTGGCTACAGAGGTAAGTTCCACACGCCATACATGTGAGACTGCATAGCACTGTGTTGTACAGCAATATGTCACAGGTCCTGTGATTCAAATCCCACACCCCCTCAGCAATCTTTGAGCTCCACATTTACCTCTCTAATCTGACTTGTTACATGCCAAATTGCACAGGACTCAGGTAGTAATCCTGAGATCATTACCCTTGTGGGAATAATCTGCTTTCCAATTTAACACTGAGCTGTTTGTACTCCCTCAGCAGAGCCTCTTTCCCAGTCCTACCTCCGTCATTGGCATCTACGTGGACTACAACAACTTCCTCTCCCAAACAAAATTCTTCTCCAGCCCAGAAGGGATGACCTGAACTTCAGCACCAGGTCAGCAACACAGCCTTTGGGACTCTACCTTTGCTGCAAATAACAGCATCTATTCCTGGAGTCATGCTATCCCTCTATTACTGCATTTCTTGTTTCACATCAACTCCCTCCTTTCCCCATGGAATGGTGCTCAGGACCCACTGTGCTGTGGTCAGTTTGTACATTCTCCTGCAGTCTATGCACCCACCCAAACTGGGATTTATGTTCCATCAAATTTCTGTTTCTTCTGGGTCAGTGCACAGCAGCAACTTCTGGACCCGGAGGTGAATGCTGGGAATGGGTTGGGCATTCCGATTGGCATGTGTGGGTCTTTGGAATGACCGCATAGCTGCACAGCTTTGAGGGCACTTTGACCGGGAGCAAGAACCTCGTACTTGTCGGACAAGGGCAATGATTGGCGATCATCAAATGCTAAATTCTGTATCTCCATACCTCACTCATTTTCAGTCACATTCTGTACCACTGTTACAAAAGCTTAGACCCCACTCTCTCTCACACTCTTTATGAGGCTGCCGCCCCTTCTCTCTGCGCTAGTTATATGGCAGGCGATGAAATTTGTCCCAACGATACAGGCTCGCTTTCCTTTGTACTGTTGCCAGTGCCTCATAAACTGGAAACCACTTCTCCCACGTCAGCCTTTGGACCATGTATTCATCTCCCTAATGTTACTACCTTGCCATCCGCTCACAAGGCCACTGCATTTTCTCTAAATGATCAGATTGCTTCTCACCCAACACTGGAAGAGTTGAAATTTCCCCAAATTAAACCTTGAAAAGTCCTCACCAGAACATGCGTTGCCTGTCCACCAACTCCATCCTTCTCAATGACAGCTGCATGAGGCTTCACAACCAAGGAAAACCCTCCGCAATATATATCCACACCATCACTAAGGCAGGTATATCCACATCTGTAACATTGGCCACACACAGTCACTGCCTCAGCCTTTCTGCAGCTAAAACCCTCATCTATTCCTTTGTTACATCTGGATCTCCAATATTCAACCAATCATGAACATAAATTCAATGCAATGTAGTTGCCCACACCCTCACACCAAACTCCATTTATCCATCACCCCTGTACTCACTGATCTACATTGACTCCCAGTTGTGCAATACCTTAAATTTATAAACCCAATTGTTATTTTCAAATTGCTATAGTCCTTTGAGATATCTCCACTCTTTCAATTTATGATTCTTAAACATCCTTAATTTTGGTCTTGCTGCTACAAGCAAGACACTCTAGGTGACTGTGAAGCTACCCCATAAGCAGGTATATTCTGTGTCCTTTTTACCCTCAGTGCTGCATCAACACTGATTCCACATCTGACCGAGGGGAGCTACTTGGGGAGCAACGGGATGTGTATCCTCATTTATTTTTGGCCTGAAGCTATAAGACTGTGAGATTTGGCATCTTGCTGATGACCCTAAGGGCTGCTCACCCCCTACTGTCTGTCTTCTGTTGTATCAGTGCCATTAGAGGTTCAGTCTTCCTGACTAAATGTAACCAGGCAGTGTGACGGAGAAGGTGGGACATGGGTTATATCTCAAAGCCAGCTCTTTGCTATCCAGTGTAAAATATACATTCTCCGATTGCAAAACACTCAGGCTCAGAATAGAAATATGGTCCTTTAATATCTAAACATTCAAATGAGGTGACAATCTTTCATGAGACAGTTAAACATCTGTTCATAATTGGTCATTGTTAGTAATTATTTTCTTTATGATATATTTGAGAGTCGATTGGAGTTAATCAGTAGTAAAGGTTTTTGTGTGAATGTTGGCTACGGGTTGTCCTTTGGTCACATTCTCACTATTCCTATTGTGGTGAGTAACTGTGCTCAGTCTCCCCATTGGTCACTGGGGTCTACATGTTCTTTGAGAGAATTAAGTGTATGGTCAGTCCAATGGCCAGGATCAAGGGGCCTGAAAGGAAGGCTAGGCCACGGCGAATGATCAGTTGTTTTGTGGACAGGATTTCTCCGACTGTGGTAACTCCAGTGTCCACAATGGAAGATGTAACTGTCACCCGGTCCTCCTCTGTCTGTATTTCCGATTGATAAACATCAGGAATTGGATTCACTGCCCTGTTTTCTGTGTCCACATCTGGAAAGGAAAGTCACATTGAAACGTTGTGAGTACATAATGATTCCTATTGATTGCATTGTTTTGAGGTGGGCTGGTGATCAGACCAATAATCTCCTCCATGACTCCCAGTCATTGCCAATACCACATGATCTACTTGTAGGAGAATTGTCCTGTCAAAAATACAGGAACCACTTTAACACTCAGACTATTAGCTTCTGATTATTTCAAGATAGAAAGTGTTCCCCATTGTCTCCTCACGGTGTAGCCTTTCAAATTGGCTAAGAGGCCACTTTAATCCAGAATTTAACAGTAGATTAAGCTGTACACACATGATGTGGAGGTGCTAGTGTTGGACTGAGGTGTACAAAGTCAGAGGTCACACAACATCACATTATATTCCAACAGGTTTATTTAAAATGACAAGCTTTCGGAGCCCTGCTCCTTCATCACCTGACAAAGGCGAAAGCTTGTGATTTCAAATAAACCTGTTGGACAATAACCTGGGTGTGACCTCTGACTTTGTACACAAATGCACATCTTTTTTTACCTTTTTAGTGATGCTAATTATATGAACTAATTTACAAGTTGCAATAATGTAATAGCAAGATACCAGAGCTGTTTTTTACTCCACTCTTATTTGTTAACTGGGGAATGATTGCAAGAAAGCACAACGTTTTTTTTTTACCTGTTGACCTGTACTGGGTTTGACAACCAGAGGCACTGTGAGAGGTGTCCACATTTTTCATCACACCCGCATTAACCAGAGCCTTGAAGCAAAACACAAAGAAAATCATGGATCAGGAGGGATGGAAGTATTGCTTAAGCAGAACTGTGAGTGCAGAACTCTAAAAGGGCATTGACAAGTTGGTGGGGTGGGGGGATAGATGGCAGATGAGGCTCAATGCTGAAAAGTGTGAGGTGATGCATTTTGCTGGAAAAACATTGGAAGACAATAGGAAAAATAGGATACAGGAGTGCAGGAGCAGAGGCATCTGGGTGTATAGGCGTACAGATCATTGAAGGTGGAGAGATCAGTTAATAAAACAATTAGTGTTCTCAGCTTTATTACAAGAACAAGGAGGTGATGTGGGTCGTGATTCGAGCTCAGCTGGAGTATTGTGAACAGTTCTAATTGCCACATCATAGGAAGGATGTGAACACATTGAAGAGAGTGCAAGAACAATTTACAAGAACGACAGTGAGTAATGATGCACGTTTGAAGAGGCAGCTCAGACAAAGTGAGCTGAATGGCCTCCTTCTGTGCCATAATAATTCTATTATTCTGGGAAACTGTGAAAGGGCACAACAGAGGTAGCACCTCCAGTACAATGCAATCCCCATTCCATCATTTACTGCTTTTTAAAAAGCGGCACTTGTGAACTATTAATGTTGGTGATACCACCAAACATCAAAGAGTTCAACTTTCCTGATGGATTTCTATTCTGTCTGACTAGTTCATAATACATATGTTCTTGAATGTAACTTTAGCGTGGAGAAATACACGGAAGCTAGGGAAATTGGGGAAATAAATGGTGATGTCTTGGAAAAAGTACATTACAGAAGAGGAGGCTCTGGAAATCTTAAAATGCATAAAGGTAGATAAATCCCCGGGACCTGATCAGGTGTATCCCAGAACTTTGTGGGAAGCCAGGGAAGAGTTTGCAGAGGCCCTTGCTATTTGAGATATTTATATCGTCGATAACCACAGATGAACTGCCGGAAGACTGGAGGGTGGCTAATGTTGTTCCATTACTTAAGAAAAGTTGCATTGGGAGCAAGGGAACTATAGATCAGTGAGCCTAACATTAGTGGTGGGTAAGTTGTTGGAGCGGATTCTGAGGGATATTGTGTCCATGCATTTGGAAAGGCAAGGACTGATTATGGATAGTCAGCATGGCTTTGTGTATGGGAGACCACGTCTCACAAACTTTATTATGCTTTTTGAAGAGGTTACCAAGAAGATTGATGAAGGCAGAGTGGTAAATATTGTCTACATGGACTTTAGCAAGGCCTTCGACATGGTCCTGCATGGTAGACTGGTTAATAAGGTTAGGTCACATGGGATACAGGGAGACATAGCCAAACGAATACAAAACCAGTTTGATGGTAGAAGACTGTAACCAGCGGTATGCCACAACGATTAGTGCTGGGTCCACTGTTGTTTGTCATTTATGTCAACGATTTGGATGAAAATATAGGAGGCAAAGTTAGTAAGTTTGCAGATGGTATCAAAATTGGTGTTGTAGTGAACAGAGAAGATGGTTATCTAAGAGTACAAAGAGATCTTGATCAGATGAGCCAATGGGCTGAGAAGTGGCAGGTGGAGTTTAATTTAATTAAATGCGAGGGTTGCATTTTGGTAAGGCAAACTGGGGCAGGACATGTACAGTTAATGGTAAGGTCCTGGGGTGTGTTGTTGAACAGAGGGACATAAGGATGCAGGTTCATAGTTCCTTGAAAGTGACATTGCAGATAGACAGGATAGTGAAGAAGGCATTTGGCACACTTGCTTTCATGGGTCAAAGCATTGAGTATAGGAGTTGGGAGGTCACGTTGCGGCTGTACAAGACATAGGTGAGGCCACGTTTGGAATACTGCGTACAATTCTGGTCACTCTGCCATAGGAAGGATGTTGTTAAACTAGTAAGGGTGGAGAAAAAATTTTCAATGATGTTGTCAGGACTGGAGGGTTTGAGTAATAGGGAAAGGATGGATAGGCTGGGACTTCTTTCCCTGGAGTCTCAGTGGCTAAGGGGTGATCTTCTGGAGGTTTATAAAATAATAACGGGCATAGATAAGTGAACAGCCAAGGTCTTTTCCCCAGGGTAGGAGAGTCCAAAACTAGAGGGTATAGATTTAAGGTGAGAGGGGAATGATTTAAAAGGGACCTGAGGAGCAACCTTTTCATGTAGAGGGTGATGTGCATATGGAATAAGCTGCCAAAGGAAGTGGTAGATGCAGGTACAATTACAACATGTAAAAGACATTTGGACAGGTTCATGAACAGAGATAGTAGGAACTGCAGATACTGCAGAATCCGAGACAACAAGGTGCAGAGCTGGATGAACCTCACCAGGCCAAGCCTCTGCTCCTATGACCCTGCTTGGCCTGCTGTGTTCATCCAGCTCTGCACCTTGTTGTCTCAGGTTCATGAACAGGAAAGGTTTCAAGCAATACGGACCAAATGCAGGAAATGGGACTAGATTAGGTTCGGAAACTTGGTCAGCATGAACAAATTGGACAAAGGATCTATTTCCATGCTGTATGACTCTATGACTCTAAATTTCTAGCTGTTGAAAATTGGGCATCGCTGAATTAAATGCAGTTCTAACAAGCTTGGCATTAACTACAGTTAACATTGGACTTCATCTTAAAGTGTTGTTGGAGAAAATGCATAAATAATAAATGATCCATTTCCAAGACTATAATGGAGTGAAGGAGATTGGAGAGAGACAAATTGCATCCATTAGAAATGTATATTATACATTTTGACATTCAGAATTAAACGATTACATTGATGGTAAAATTATTGGTCACATCTATCATTTGAAGACATCACAAAGATGTCATGTTGCTGAAGAGATAATGTTTCTGGGTCAAGACATTTTTAGAGTGCTCTTTGTATATATGCTGGTAGAAGCAAATTGTTCAGTATGTATTTCATGAGGGAAATTCACTTTTAAGGTCTGTGCTAGCTTACACTTTAGAATAGAATAACATCCCTACAGTGTGGAAACAGGCCCTTCGGCCCAACAAGTCCACACTGACACTCAGAGCGTCCCACCTAGACCCATCCCCTTAATCTACACATCCCTGAACACTACAGGCAATTTAGTATGGCCAATCCACCTAGCCTGTACATTTTTTTTTTGGATTGTGGGAGGAAACCGGAGCACCCAGAGGAAACCCACACAGACACGGGGAGAATACGCAACTCCACACAGACAGTTGCCCGAGGGTGGAATTGAACCTGGGTCCCTAGCGCTGTGAGACAGCAGTGCTAACCACTGAGCCATCGTGCCACCCCTGACTTTTTTGGGGGGGGGGGAACCTCTGCAGTGCCCCTCACTGAGTCTTGTGGCAGAAAGCGATCAACTTGAGTTGTCCACTTGAAGAAGCTGTACATAAGTTATAGAAGTAATCTGGGACAAGAACAGGCTATGTATCTCCAAATCCAGGATTTGAAGAGACCACAATTATGAGGTTCACAAAAAAAAACTGAAGTCATGTTTTAATGGCAGGATCCCCATGAAATCTGTACCTCCAGGAATAATTGGAATGCCATGTCAAATTAAAGTAAATTCCAGATGGCTGTAGCATGCCATTGGATTTCTCCAAGGAAAAGTGAATGAATGTTCAAGATTTCGGAAGAATAGGAATATCTTTGGAGGGGGTGAGAAATTACATTGTCAAACTGAGTTTACAGCATTTCATTTGAAGCTGTTATATTAAGTTAATAAAGCTTACTTCGTTTTATTCTATTTGAATAGCACTAAAATCTGTTTTGTTAAATTTTGTGACACAGTCCTGTCAAACAAATTCTGGGTGTACTGATTCCATCTTCAAGCAATATCACATAGGGTAAAATATCTGAGATTTTTTCAGTGTGGTATGTGTCAACTGGAAACAACGCATGGCATGAAGGAAACAAGGGAAAAGAAAGACAATTTTAAAATGAGTCAAAACATGCCTGCAATAAATTTGCTCTATGATCTGTTCTTACCTCGCTGCATGCTTCATTCCAGTTGAATCTGTAAAACACTATCAGGAAGAAAACTAATTGTCCAATCACAGAAGCGAGCATTCCATACCACAGACCTGTAAAATAACAACAGTGCAGCGAATATGGGGACAACACTGTCCTGTGTTCATTCCACTTCTTCATCTTATTGAAATCTTTTCACATTTATCAGATGGCTGATGCCACTCTGCAAGATATTGCATATTCATGTTTGGCCTCAGCGCCCTTTGATTCAGGAAGTGGAGAATTCCATCGTGTTCCCTCTCCTGATTATTATCCAATGACCCATGTTTGAAATGTGGAATTTATGTGAGACCTTTGTCTCAGCTTACCTCCTGCCAATATTCCTGTGTCTCTGATCAGAGATGAGAAATGGCCATGGAAGTAGGGTACTTTATCGAATGGTAGAGAGTGAATATTGATAGGTAGTGGCCCCAAAACCATACAGGGCCAGTTAGATGCACATCATACCCCAGTGGGTGAACTACTGATTGCAAGGTGGACTATATCCTCAGTCCTTTATAAGGGAGTGGATGGATGGTGATAATTGTTGTTAAAGAACAAGGGAAAAAACAATGTAAATTCCTACCAGATATGCCACATTTTGCAGCAAACATCAGAGAGATTCCGATTGGGAGCCCAATTAGGTAGTAGCCAACCAGATTGCTGATAGCTCCTAGTTTTTGCTTCCCAGCTCCTCTTAATATTCCAAAACATACACTCTGCAAAATAGACAAACAGAACATATTACACTAATTATACAACAAGGAGAGACTAGATAAGCTTGGATTGTTTACTTTTGAGCAGAGAAGGCTGAGGGGAGACATGGTTGATAAGATAACGAGGGGTATGGACAAGATAAACTGGGAATAGCTGCTCCCTTTTGGTGAGGGGGCACAGTTTTAGGGTAGAGGGCAGGAGATTCAGAGGTGATTTGAGAAAAAAATGTCTTCACTCAGCAGGTGGTGCGAATCTAGAACGCACTGCTGGGGAGGGTAGTGGAGTTCGGAAACGTTAAAACTTTTAAAGAATATTTGGATGAACATTTGAAATATCAAAACATTTAAGTTAATGGGACAAGTGCAGGAAATTGGGATTAGTGCGCCTTTTGTAGTTTTTGTCGGTATAGACTTGATGGGCCGAAGGGCCTGTTCTGCTCTGTAAGACTCTATGTGCTGTGGCTTCTATCATCAGGAAACAAAACCTCATGAATTCGCTTGTCCTGAAATAACTCGGAACCAATGCGTTGCACTTTGAACACAGTGATTCATGTCATGTAGGGAATAGCTCACATGGTTAAGGTGTTTTCTTATTGTCATCAAAGGTATAAAAAAAAATTAAAACTCTTTTCTCAATTTACACTCAAGCACACTGTTTGATTGAATTATCCCAAAAGACGGAAGGTTGGATTTTTTTTTAGCAATGGCTTTCCTTTGTCTTTGCCTTCCATCATCAGGGAAATGGCTGGGAAGCAGGACACAGGCCTACCTCAGAAAAGAAATGAGAATCAAACCTGTACTGTCAAGTTTGGTTTGAACAACAGACTAGCCATTTAAACATTGAGCTAATCAGGTCCCGCACATGGCACATGATTGAATGTCTATTGGAAATCCAAATACACTAACCTCTACTGTTTACCCTTTATCTACTTTTTACAACCTCAAAGAATTCTATTTAGTTTGTCAAACACAATTTTCCTTTCACTAAACCATGGTGACTCTGCTTTTTGTCATTCGATTTTGTAAGTGTCCTGCTATTACATTCTCAGCAATGGATTCCAGCCTTAGACTATCTGACCTAGACATGTCTGTCTACTGTTCCTTCCTGTCTTGGATATGTTGTCACATTTGAGGTTTTATAATGTATTGAGACCTTTTCAGAACAGGTAAACAAGATGGTTAAGAAGGCTTGCTTACCTTCATTGCTCAGACTTTTGAGTATAGGAATTGGGACGTCATGTTGAGGTTGTACAGGACATTGGTGATATCTCTTCTGGAGTACTGTGTGCATTGCTGGTCACCCAGTTACAGGAAGGATATTATTAAACTGAAGAGGGTTCAGAAAAGATTTGCCAAGATGTTGCCAGGAATGGAGGGTCTGAGATATAAAAACAGACTTGAAAGGCTGTGACTTCTTTCACTGGAGCGTAGGAGGTTGAGGGGTGACCTTGGTGAGGTTTATAAAATCATGAGCGACATTGATAAGTTGAATGACAAGGGTCTTTTCCCCAGGGTGGGGGAGTTCAAAACTAGCGGACATATTTTCAAGGTGAGAGGAGAATGCTTGAGAAAGGACATGAGGGGCAGCTTTTTTACACAGAGAGTGGTTCATGTGTGGAACGAACAGACAGAGGAAGTGGTGGATGTGAGGACAGTTACGACATTTAAAAGACATTTGGATAAGTACATGAATAGGAAAGGTTTGGACGGATATGGGCCAAGCACAGGCAGGGGGGACTAGTTTAGTTTGGGATTATGGTGGGTATGGACTATTTGGACCAAAGGGTCTGTTTCCGTGCTGTATGGCTCTATGACTCTATAACTTGGGAAGTTTTGAAAGTTACAAGCAATACATTCACTTTCTGTGCAGCCACTTGCTTTTGGACACTAGAATGCAGGCCATCAGGTCCAGGGGTTGCAAGGTGGACTATACCCTCAGTCCTTTATAGGGAGTGGATGGACCCTTTAGTCCTATTAGCTTGTCTCTAGCCATCTTGGTTGTTTTAAATAACAAAGGTGTAGAGATTTCTAAAGAAGGGTCCAGACCCGAAACGTCAGCCTTCCTGCTCCTCTGATGCTGCCTGGCCTGCTGTGTTCATCCAGCTCCACACCTTGTTATCTCAGACTCTAGCATCGGCAGTTCGTCCTATCTCTCTAGGTTGTTTTAACTTCTTTCTTTACTCATGCTTCTTCACTTCCTCTTCGTCTTGGGAAGGTTTCTTTGAATTTGTTGCATTAATAGAGATCCAAATTGTTTGTTTCAAATATCTGCCATTTCATTTTTTTCCATCGTCAATTCCCAGTCTGAGCCTCTAAGAGATCAGCACTTATTTCCCCTACTCTCTTCATTTTTGTCATTGTGGAAGCTTATACTGTGTGTTTTAATATTTTTTTCTTGGTTTTCTCTCATACATCCCCTTTCCGTCTTTGTTTCTTTTTAGTTGTGCTTCATAGTTTCAAATCATATGAGCTATCTTCCCAGCATTGCAGGTCATTTCCTCAATACCATCTGATAGCCACAGAGATGAGGGTTTCTTCTGTTCCTGAATGTACTCAGCAACTGTCTCACTTGGCAACCGTATCCTTTCACAGAATTTGACTACAACCTCAATCTTAGTCATGCCTTGAGTCCAGAATGCAGAAACTACTTAGTCATAGAGTCATAGAGTAATACAACATGGAAACACGCCCTTCGGCCCAAATTGGTCCATGCTGACTATGGTGCCCTCTCAGCTAGTTCCAATTGCCTGCATTTGGTCCATATCCTTCTAAACCCTTCCTGTCCATGCAACTATCCAAATGTTTTTTAAATGTAGCTATTGTACCTGCCTCGACCACTTTCTCTGGCAGCACATTCCACATACGCACCACTCTCTGTGTGAAGATGTTGCCCCTCAGGTCCTTCTTAAATCTTTCCCCTCTCACCTTAAACCTATGCCCTCTAGTTTTCAATTCCCAATCCCTGGGAAAAAGACTATATGCATTCATCCTATTTATGCCCCTCATGATTTTATACACCTCAATAAGGTCACCCCTCATTCTCCTACGTTCCAAGGAATAAAGTCCTATCCTGGCCAACCTCTCCCTGTAACTCAGGCCTATTAGTCCTGGCAACATCCTCGTAAATCTTCTTTGCACACTTTCCAGTTTAACTATGTCTTTCCTATTAACAGGGTGACCAAAACTGTACACAATACTTCAAGTGCAGCCTCACCAACCACTTAAACAACTGTAACATATCATCCCAACTCCTATACTCAGTGCCTCGATCGATGAAGGCCAGCATGCTAAATACCTTCTTTACCACCCTGTCCGCCTGTGACGCCGCTTTCAATGAACTATGTACTTGTACTCCTCGGTCCCTCTGTTCCACAACACTCCTCAGGACCTTACCATTTACTGTCTAAGTCCTACCTTGGCTTGACTTTCCAAAATGCAACACCTCACACTTATCTGTATTGAATTGCATTTGCCAATCCTCAGCCCACTTCCCCATCTGATCAAGATCCCTCTGTAAGTTTGATAACCTTCCTCGCTATCAATGATACTTCCTAATTTTGTATCATCCGCAAACTTATTAATCATGCCTTGTACATCCACACCCAAATCATTCATATAAATAACAAATAACAAATAACAAAGGTCCCGGCACCGACCCCTTTGGCACACCACTAGTCACAGGCCTCCAATCTGAGAAACAACCTTCAACCATCACCCTCTACTTCCTACCTTCGAGCCAAGTTTGAATCCAGTTGGCTAGCTCTCCCTGGATCCCATGTGCCCGAACTTTCATGACTAGCCTGCCATGCAGAACCTTGTCAAAGGCCTAACTAAAGTCCATATAGTCAACATCCACTGCCCTACCCTCATCTATCCTCTTGGTTACATCCTTGAAAAACTCTAAAAGATTTGTCATACATAACTTTCCACACACAAATCCATGCTGACTATCCCTAATCAGACCTTAACTATCCAAATGTTGGTTGATTCTGTCCCTCAGTATTCTCTCCAATAACTTGCCTACCAGCGACGTCAGGCTCACGGGCCTGTAGTTCCCTGGCTTGTCTTTGCTACCTTTGTTAAACAATGGAACAACATTAGCCCCCTCCAGTCTTCAGGAACTTCAACAGTGGCTAAAGATGAATAAAAAATCTCTGCAAGGGCCTCTGCAATTTCTTCCCTAGACTCCCACAACATCCGAGGATGGGCTTGATCAGGCTCAGGGGATTTATCCACCTTAATGTGATCTAAGGCTACAGAGTTTATCGATAGAGCTGGATAAAATTCACCTGACAAAGAGGTGGCCCTCCGAAAGCTTGTGATTTCAAATAAACCTGTTGGACTATAACCTGGTGTCGTGTGATTTCTGACCTTGTCCACTCCAGTCCAACACCAGTACCTCCACATCATGGATAAAGTTGAGATTGAGAACTTAACATTTATAAATAATGAACACAAGAAGTGTCACTAGAGGTATGGAGCTGTGCTAAGGTCATGGATACTCAACTACTCACCACAATGGCTTCAAACAGATAGAAAGCAGCACATAGTGGAACTATTTCTGACACTAGATAGGCAATATCTCTGAAAAATTAAAACAGTTAAATTAGAGAATTTTCACAGTACTCTGAATGGCCTGTGTAAATGTGGCTTGATGCATTTTATGTTTGTAGAAGTTTTGTTTTCTAACTAACTTGTCGTTCGTAAAGATATAGGCCAGCTTGTTCTTTATTGCTCCGAGAACGACTGCAATTATGAAGGTGGTGAAACCTGTGGAAATAAAAGTCAAAGATAACAAGTAATTCTCATCAAATAATCTAATGGTCATTCCAGATAACATTATTTTTTCATTGGTTTGATCATGGGATGTGGATTTTGGACCACCGTTTATTGCCCATCTCTAAATGCCCTGGAGAAGATGGTGGTGAGGTGCCTTTTGAACTGCTGCATTCTATTTGTTAGAACATAGAACATAGAACAGTACAGCACAGTACAGGCCCTTCGGCCTACAATGTTGTGCCAAACTTTTACCCTAAACCTAAGGTCTACCTAACCTCTACTGCTACATTATACTATCATCCATATGCCTATCTAATAGCTGCTTAAATGCTCCTAATGAGGCTGACTCCACTATCCTCTCCGGCAATGCATTCCACGCTCCTACCACTCTCTGAGTAAAGAACCTACCTCTGACGTCTCCCCGATATCTACCTCCTTTCACTTTAAGACTATGTCCCCTCATAAAAACTACCTCCACCCTAGGAAGAAGTCTCTGGCTGTCTACTCTATCTATACCTCTGATCATTTTGTTCACCTCTATCAAGTCATCAAGCCTTGTTGTAGGAACAGACACGACCTGTCCGTCTTCTCTCCCACCTATCCGGTCCTCCCACCTCACTGACCAATCCTCACCTCTCCCTACCTACACTCACCTATCACCATCCCCCCCCCCGTCCCTGGCCCCACCCCTCCTCCCTATTTATTTCTGAGCCTCCTTCCCCCTCCCCCGTTTCTGAAGAAGGGTCCAGACCTGAAACATCAGCTTTCCTGCTCCTCTGATGCTGCCTGGCCTGCTGTGTTCATCCAGCACCACACCTTGTTATCACAGTTAGGAAAGACATTCTTTGATTTGACCCAGTTAGGGTGAAGGAAACCCAAATCAGGATGGAGGGGTACTTGCTGGTGGTAATTTATTACCGTTATCCTTCTTAGTGGCAGAGACTAGAGGTGGCATCCAAGATGGCAGAGGGGCAGCAGGGCTGCCTGTGGACTCTTGCCCGGGGATCGTCTGCTCACATCTGCTTTCTTTCTTTTTTCTTTCTTTTCACTTTGCTCTTTTTCTGTCATTTTTTTTCTCCTTTTGTTTCTCGTTCCTTTGGCGGGTTCATCGGCAGCATTGGCACAACACCAAGAGCGGGTCGTGCACGGAGTGGTAGCGACCTCCCGGTGGTCGGAGGTGATGGCAGTGGTGCCGGACGCGGCTCTTCCCGGCAATTAGCGGCAGCAAGGACGTCCTTCTGGCATTCGGGGCTGGTGGCAGCAATGGCAAAACTCCTCCAGCAATCAGAGTCTCGGAGCGGAGCCAGGGGCTCCCGGTTTCAGTAGGCCCAGAGCGAGGACACCCGGCCTGGCAGCG